CCCTCCACCACCATATTTCCCCACCACGCAACGACCACACCCCTAGCAGACCTACCTTGTCTTCGGTGCCCGCAACCACTTCCAAGGCAGAAGGGGAAATTTCGACCTCACCAATGACTGCTGCATCAGCATCAGAGGTACCATCAGCGTCGTCATCAAAAGCAGTGCTGATGCTGCTGCCGGATCCCTGGATTCACGAAGAAAATCAAGGACACCGAGGAGATCATCACGACAACGGCAACAGTAACAATGCAACAACCAAACCGGCGTGACAAATTCAGCGAGATATGGATGGGGGGGCAAGATTCAACAACTATATAATACTGCTGTGACACCGAACATCGCAAGCAGTTCTGAGTTTCACAGCACCTCTTGCTGATGCGTAAGAGCGACAGCAAAGGTCATAATAGTGATTCTTAACAAATCTGCCTTACGGCAAGGAGTGTTACCAAAGCACAACAGAAGCACCAAAAAGCCAAGCCAGTGGAGGACCCTGAGCAGCCGGAGACGAAGAAAATGCAAAAAAATAAGAAACGCAAGCGCGGCGGATGCCGAGACGTGTGACAAGCAGAACAACATTGGGACAGTACCATTCGTGAAAACTCACCGGGCGGTCGGAGAGCGGGATAGCTGCACCAGCAGCATCTACGGGCATCTCGATATCCGCCGTGGTCATGGAGTTGCCCACGATGTCGAGGATGTCGCTCACGAGCTGCTGCGGGTGGTCGCCCTGGCCAACGTGGCGTGCCGTGTGTGTCATGTGAAAGGTCGCGCGGGGTGGCAACGAACACCCGAGTCCGGACATGGTTCCAAGCCAAATGTTTTCGTCGAGATGAAAACGTGGAGGCAGCGAGCGAGAGAGGTCGAGGAGAAGGGAGCGGAAGGTGGGGACGATTCGTCCACGAAAATCGTGTAGGGCATAGTCATACCTGGTGGGACACAGGAGGATGGATACCCTCTGTTCGACCCTACAAATCGACGGTTTGTTGCGAATGGCTGCTCATGTACAAGTAGTCATCGCCGTTTTTGTTGTTTGGAGCATGTAGGTACTAATGTCGCAGTTGGCGGTGGTGGTACCTGACGTGGCCGACGCCGGCGAGAAGCGGCTTCGCGCGGACGCAAGCCAGCATGAAATAGAGACCCCGCAAACAAACAAAACACGAGCGCCATACATAAACCCTTTCCTCAAGTTCGGGGTGCTGCGGCTGGTTCTACAAATCAACGTGCTGCTTCCTTGTCTATCGCCCTTTGCCCCCACCGGGGGAGGGGCGGGGGGCGACGGCATACGTCAAAGCGCCGCGCAGCATTTGTAGAGTACACATCGCTTACCGCCGGGATGAGGGTGCTGTTCGTGTAGACCCCGTCGATACTCCCGCCTGCAGCGCTCTCGATCACACCAGCTTCGTTGCCATCGTTTCGCGGGGGGGAGGAACCAAAGTGTCGCAAGGAGCGAAAAAATACATTTTGAAACGCGTTAGACAACGGAGAGGCGCGCGCGGAGGGGGGTTAGGGACATCACCGCACAAATCAACGCCTCGCAAAACATGGCAAACACCATGGGTGGGGGGGGGCGGGCACTCGTGTTTTACACGGCGTAGCGGTTATAGACCGTTGACCACCGAAGAAGTATTGTTCCCACAGGACCGATCACCCACGGCAAATCGTTCCTCCCTGCCATGCCAAAGGTCGCCTAAACACGTTTTCCCTGCCCCATCCTCTATCGGTATCAATTCCCACTTTTTCCCTATGCCTATCCCTCTCACCGCCAGCGAGCGCAGTCGCCGCCAGGTGGATCTCGTCCGCAGGACCGCCGCCGTCCTCCATCTCCGACGTGGCTACGCCGCCATGGGCAACTACTCCAGCCGCCGCCTCCGTCGTTGTCGTCGCTGCCCCACGCGAAACTCCCCCGCCGTCGCCATCCACATCGCCGCCCCCGCTCGGACTGCCACCGCTGGTGGCACCGGCGGCGCCGGTGGCGGCCCCATGTTTGAGGTGGCGAGAAAGCCTCCCAGCGAGCACTCCCTGCTGCTGCTGTCTCGGGTTGACGGCCGCAAGGCGTGAAGACGACGCCGAACGGTCGGGCTGTTCAAATCGAAAGGACCGGGGAGGGGGGGGGTCAGGGTATCTACTTATCGAACGATCAGGCTGTTCAGGACCGGGAGTTCTCGTTCATGGGTCGTAGAGGACGGTGGCGGGGGGGGGTGATCCCGAGAAGAGGCCAGTTGTTTTTGGCAGGACGACAAGACACTGCCGACGAGTCGTCGAAAGGGGGGGGCTCTTTCTGTCAAGTTTTTGTGTTGTACTGGAGTACGTATGCTTTTTTTTACGAAAAAACTATGTATACACACTAAGTTGCAGATCACACCAGGAAGAGGAACGCGACGACTGTCCACGGACGGCGGTGCCGCTGCCGGAAGTTGCTGACTGTAGCTGTTCCCCGTCTCATACGCTGCCGTCACACAAGCAAAACAACCACATGACTGCTGCGAACAAGCCCCTGAGAATGAACCATGGACTGTGACATGCCCGACCACCTTCGGAGGTCTATTGTACATATCCTTCGCGCGTTGGTCGTGATTCTCCGCACTACACATCACCCAAAAATTAACCTTGAGCTGCAAGGCGAAGCGAGAGACAAACGCACGAGCTGTTTCCAGCTGCTCGTTGCCCTTGTCAGCATGGGTGGAACCCAGTGGCGAACACACAAGCGGCGAAAGCGACGCCGCTTGGCTGATTACGTAGCCGGGTGTTGCATGATACGCATCTACATCGGTGAACGTCCCGTGGGTTCGCTCTGTAAGCAGGGGAAAAAAAAATGAAAGACGAGATCAAGAACAATAAAATGAGTATCTTCGGTTCGGTTTCGATGAAAGTTGAGGCCACCAAAAGGTTCATGCAAACTGTTGTAAATGCATACCTACCTATAATGTTGGGGAATCGTACCGCTGAAATTTTCACACACAAATCAAAGAAGCGAAAAAAACTCGCATCCACCAGGCAAAAAGAGACCGTGATCAACAAATTAGAAGGATTTGATAGACATACCTTTTCTAGAGCGACACTTCGCTAAACTTGCATCAAAATTCTATGCTGCGATTCCCAGTGCAGCAGCCAGCGATATCTCCCCCGTAGGAATATTATAATAAAAATAGCATACCGTTTGGTTGTGCGGAAGACTTACCGCGTGGGTACACATGTCGTACAAAACGTGGGCGACAATGTGTGCACACATCTGCCCGGTCCATAAAGCAGTATCCAAGAATACTGTTTATGTGTGCACAGATGTGCAGTGCATACAGCAGTATCCAAGACTACTGCTGTATTCTATCTACAACATTGGGTTCATCCTTCTGTCTGCAGGGTACCAGGGGGGGGGGGGGCGGCGGCCCC